CCTCCTCCGCATTTAAAGCCTGCTCTTGAATGGACATAAAGTCAAGGCTCTCAAATGCACGAATTAAGGGCAACAATTTTATGTTTTTCCACTGTAATGCCATCCACCGCATCATCCCATGCATCGCATTTCACCACGACCACGACAGGGTCATAAAATTTGTCTCAAAGCGAAGTAAATGCCGAAACCTCATGGGGTCATTGCAGGTCCACCTGTGTTTCTCTCCATGCAGATTTAGTTGGATGACGAAAGGAGGCGTTGGCACATCGCCGAACCAGGTGCATTCCTCACAAATGCCGTTCATGCAGACCTCTTCTATTGGTTACTATCAAGGCTTTCAATTGCCGCATTAGACCCACAGCCCAGGAAGTGATTCCATGAGTGATAGAACCCCATAACCTTTGGATATAACAAGTGGATAGAAGACGATCCCTGGTGTCTACTACTACGGAAATGTTTTCTCTCAAAAACGTAAAACCATGGATAGCAAAAGCTAAACGTATCTCAATAGACGAGGTTTTCTGCCAAAATTGAAAGAAAAAATTTGGAGCAAACGTTTATGTTACTGTACAAGATGTAGCACCCGGTATTTTGCTCTCATCTTTCTTCACCTAACTCTTTGCAGATACACAAAAATGGGCCAGTGGTTCTATCGCGGCTGTGATGACTGTCGTTGCGTTGGAAAGGCGCCGAAAACAGCAACCCTGAAATGCAAACGTGTGCGACGCTGCAAGAAAACAACTTACCTTCAGTGTCACCTTCTCAAAATCACTCTAAACTGGCAGAAACGAGTACCAGTGCCCCGATCAGACGTCAAATGATATCTGAAGTTCTGCTGCTTAATTAGGCCAGACTTTGGAGATTTCTTATTAGTGGATGGGTTCGGTGGATTGGTTAATGTAAATCGAATATTCTTCAAGTAAATTATAATGCCACTTATTTAACCAAAGGTGGGTGTGATTAAAATGCGGACGCCGACAACCTTATTTATCCACTAATAAATCGGCTCAAATAATGCTATCATGTAATGCTTCAATAACTTGCGTAACCCTTCTTTTGATAACACGAACGCCATTGCACCATTGCACTTCCACTTAAAGGCATGGCCTACACCCCATCTCAGCAGCCTCAAACATTTTGGAGATAGAGAGAATCGGGGGCTACAATGTCATTTTAAAAATGGCACAATTATCTTTTTGGAAATCCTTATGCTCTCTCAAAACCATTTCATAACTCATTCACCAACCTCATCCGCATTCGATATGAAGGTTTTTTAACTAACCAGGGTTAAAGGCTTGCATTTTTGACAATCCAATAAAAACAACAATAAGTTTAGTAGCTTTTATTTTAGTACAAATGGTCTAAAAATATATGAAAACGACACATGTTGCTTTGTAAAAGTAACAACAGTTGTCCTTACAACCAACTCAGCACTTCTTTAAAAAAAATTTCAAAAGTATGTTAAAAGACCTTAAATTATCTTACAACTTTTTAATTAAATGCAACCTTTCCTTGGTTTAACATTTATGCAAAAAGAGCACTAAAATTACAATAACAACAACTTACGGCATAAAGTTTTAAAAATCTACATAACTGCACTGCTAAGACCTTAAAAATGTGCTACATTGATTGGTAAATAAATTTTCGAGTGTTTTAATTTTTCAAGGTTGGAAGAGTACATTTCAGATACAGGCGGTATTTTAACTACAGCATTGATTGCATTTACCCGAGTATGATTTCACAATTGGTTTTATTCTTAGCTTTGTTCCTAACTTCTTTAGCAGATGCCACAAAAGGTTTGTTTTACCGTTTGGTAATAAGTTTTACGTCTAGAACGCGATGTCCATGTCAAACTTGGGGACAACATCCGATTATGCTGTGAATTGACTCAAGAAGGTGGGTGCCTGAGCGCAGTTACTATTGTCTAAAAATGTTGACTATTTTTGTAAAATGTTTTATTGATATTAAGAAGGTCTTTTTATGATCCACATGTCAATTATCCTTGTTTCTTTGCTTACCTCTGACAAATGTACGGTTCCATACCTTATTGCTTATTTTACAAGTAGTCTGTTTGTAGTCTTGTTTTTCAAATCAATCAAGTAGAAACTTTTAACTTAATTTTTTGTTGTTTACACGTACGATGTTCGGGTTTGATTCACGCACAAGCATTTTTTTTCAGAAAACCAAGCTATTGTTTTGCATCAAGGCGACAAACGACTACGCAGTCTTGTTAGAGTGATGAAGTTCAGGCAAACCGATGCAAACAGTCAAGACTTCTTTGCTGCTCATCCAGGGTATTCTATGAAGGACATCACAGAACCCGTGGAATCGCTATGCATCGAAAAGCAGGATCCTGGTGCAAGCCTCGATGACAACGACATGGAATTTCGATGTGAACTAATTGATCAAATGGGTCTTGGTTCCACCATTGATGTAGAGAAGATCATAATCCGAGTCTTCGGTTCGCAAATCAATATTTTTATCATAGTTTGATAGTGTCGTAAAACTTTTTTATCTGACAGCAGTTATGACTGTTTAGTTAACTATATTTCAGTCCTTCTTTAATTGATTGGGAAGTCTTATTCAAGAAAGTTTGATATGTTGAGAAATTGGTCTGATTTTGACACAAGGAGGTTTTTTGAGATGAATGAATGGTTTTATATTTTAACTTTTACAGAGCCACCAGTGGTGAGTCCTCTACCACCAGTTCTGGAATCGGTTGTGAATGGACCAGTGAGTGTTAAATGCTCTGCTACTGGTCGACCGGACCTGAAAATTCGGTGGATTAACGAGGTAAGTTGTGTTGTTTAATCTCTACCTATCTTCCTCTCCTTAGTCTCCTCATTTCCCTTAGCATATGCGAGGTGCGTGATGATGAGGTACTGATGGCTCAGTAGCCAATCAGACGTGAGATTGAGGAAGAGGTAGGGGGAGAGAGAGAGAAAGGCAATGCCTATCGTAATCCTTTGGGTGGGTGAAAATGCGGATTTATGCTATAATTCGCTTGCATGATTTGTATCCAAGCTAGTAGCAGTCGTAGCAACGTCATCACTAGCAGTTAGGCTAGTCAAGTGCCAATTTGACTTGACAATTTTTGCACTGATAGATGGGCTAATCTCAACCGTGTTATGGCAGCACTGTAACTCATCGTTGTTCCGCCCGACATGTTTAATCATTTTCTATTTAAAAAGCCAAATTTTTGAATATCCTTAAGTAATTTGCTTCCATGTCCCGTTGTGACACCACACCATCCTTACAAGGAGATGGGAATGGAGTTTGTGAAATTTATCTACTCTATACAACTGGGAGGTGTGTGGGAAGAAAACTTTTGTAAAAACCAGACAAGATCACTGACTTGGAAAGATGAAAGTCCTACTTGCGTGAGGTAACGCTACACCCGCACCTCTTTTTAACTGCTAAGGTTAGCCGCTAAGAAGAACTGCATTTTAGGGTGGAGAGAGAAGGGGAGAGGAGGTGGAGATGGGAAGAGGGGAAAAACACTGCTTTATTCTCCTCCCCATTCCCATGAGGATATCTCTCCTAGGGGCATATGTTTATCACCCTTTCTTGGCAATAATCACTAGACAGTCAAATGGGAGATTGATTAGGCGATGGGGAAACAAAGTGGGGGGCGAAACAGACGCGCCAAGCTCCCTATATTGTTTCCTCCTAAGGTGGTGTTTTGCAGCCAGTCTCCGTCTCGTAGGAAAAATAATTATCTACTGCACTCCCAATTACTCCTGCGCCTAATTTTTTGCCCTATTTTTATTAATAATCCATGAGTATCTTCCAAATGTGCCAATTAATCAAATTGAGGACTTAGAATTTCTTCTTGTTTAGAAAAAAATATTTGAAATAGTACCTCTTGCCAACGTTGACACAGTGGTCTTGAGAAATCTCACCCACAGTCTGTGAATAAGTAGATGATTAGTCTCGACATTTTTGACATTTATAAGGCAAAATGTTAAAAGCAAAGCAAGCTTAGCAATGGAGAGATCACCTGAGGTAGAACTGGATGGATGGGTCGGCAAGTTGACAAACTCGGTGATTGACCTTAAAGAGTTCGCAGTAATGGGAAACCACATTTGAATTTTTCTTTCTCGTTTAAAAAAGAAGAGGCAATCGTCTTTTGGAGTAGGCAAAAAGGAGCAGGATTTAAATCTCTGCGTCTTTTGTCCACCTCCCTCCCCCAATTCGGGCGTATTTCGAGCTCCTCCAGGACTTCTTAATTTTTTGTTTTTCTACCTGATACCTTCTCACCTTTTAATATAATGCTTATTAGTCACGGAGCTTCACAACAAGTAAAGTTGTGTTTTTAAAAGGGGTCTCAAGTACTTTACGCTTTATTCACAGCACTTTAGAATAAATAAATAAGGGCACGTTAATTTTTGCTCACTTTAAAGTGAGGGAGGTGACCCCATTCTGTAGGTCAAGCCAAGCAGTGACGGGCACATTCAAATGACAGGTTTTTGTGTCATTGTAACGAACTTTAAATGTTTTTTTCTACCTCCCGGAAGTTAATAATTCCTATTTATTCATGAAAGATTGTAAAATGAGGACACAGAGGGACTCGAAACAACCGAAATGGAGGGTGTGCAAAACGAAGACAGACTGACAATTCGCTAGGAAACTCGGCCACTTTTCTTCACGGACTAGGGTCGTAGTTGAAAGCACCCATGATGCACAGGGAGTAGGATCATCCTTTTCCTTTTCACTTAACTCCAATTGAGCAATTGGGTTTTATACATAAATTTACCCAATATATAAAGTTTTTCTCCATGCTCTAGATGTGACTTAGGATTTTCAACGCCAGTTTTTATTACTCCTTCACGCCTTTTTGTTACGCAGTTAGGTCCATTTATGTCTCATAAAAAAACTCAAAGCTTCTGGCTACGTAAGACGTTACCAGAATCCTGTACCTCATTTAATTCAACCAAAATCCCACCTATTTCGGATCTAATGGGATTATTTTTGACCAGTTGTTGCTCTATTGGTGGTGAACTTGCGTACATGGAAGTCTATAAATAAGCGTGTGGAATGCGGTTAATTATTATTCAGAGTACCATGTTTGGTACCAAACCTTCCTCGCCCTGGTTAATAAAGCTGCAAACCAAATCTCCGTCCAATTACCGCAAACATGTTTCTTCTATGCTAAACCATAGTCTGTACTAAATGTAAAATTTATTGGTAAATTTAAAACGAGAACTGCTTTATTTGGTCCATTTTTTGTTTTTTGATACACTTTTCACTTAATTCACACTTCGCCTTCATATCCGCGCCTCAATTAACACAAGATTGCTATTGGTTGGATTAACGATATCGATTCCTAATTGGTCAGTTTTTATCCAATCAGAATTGTAAAAACGCTTTTGGCAGTAAAAAAATCACTATTAAACACCTTTTCTCATAAAATCCTTGTCCTGTATTTAAAAACTGTAATTTATTATTATTTTTATTGAAAGCAGGCCTAAATGCCCATAAATGAAAGTTATTTGGTCGTTTTTGAGTTAAACATGCAAAATTGGGCTAGAGCTGTTTGGCAAGTATTCACTGTGTTATCACAATGCTTCGTTAAATCGTATTCGTAAAAAAGTGGGTGAGTCGTGACCAACTTGGCGATTTATGAACCTTAATTGGCTCTCTTCGCTTTTCGTTCAGATACTGAGGTTAACTACGCAATAGCTGTTTAAAGTGGCAGTGGTGTGCTAAAAAAATAAATTTTGTGTCGGAGATTGGTCAGAAACGACCCTGCAAATGGTTAAGACCACCAAGTTTTGCTAAGATAAAATAAATTGATCGAATGGGGTTTCGGCCAGTCACCTGTTGGACCGCGGCTTTACAGAGCTCTTCTATTTCCACTGTATCCAAATGCAGAGGTCCATCCACTCCACTTTTACTATAGTGTAAGGGTAAAAAATGGGCAAACCAGAAGTTTTTAATGTGGTGAGTGATTCTACGCTTTTCCGATTCCTCTCCGCTATCCATTTCACCTCAGTAGGTTATTGTTTTATCCTCAATCTAGGAGTTGGCGACCCACTAACAGTAGAGAGATCTTATTTGTCTAGCTACCGAGCGTACATCGTGACACAGGGTCCCATCTGTCGGTTGATAAGAGGCGATTTTAACTCTTTTGATCACTTAAATGGGAGCTAGCCAACATCCCATGGGAAAATGAGCCTGGTCTGCGTTGAGAACCAGACAGTGATGGCAGAAGCGGTAGCTACTGCAAACTACTCGCGTGCGACAGTGACAGTGACAAGACTCCATCCAACTTCCCCCATCGGTTAAGTGATCCTTTATTCATCCATCTAGGAGTAATCTACCTTACGTTTTCCTTTGAAGTGAATCTGTGAAAAAAAGGCGAGTTGTTACAAACATCGCCGTTTTTTGGTTGAAATTCGGTCAATTTTATGTTGGCCAATCCCCAAGGCCAGTCATCATAGATAGGGAGAGAAATGAGAGACACGTGGCCGCAGGTCTGGTGGGTAAATTCAATAACCCTCCGTCAGGCTAAATTCCTCTCTGTCGGCCCCAACAAACACCGTGTCGTGATTTATGGCTAATCTAAGCGCGTGTGTACCGTCCGACCATCCCTAACTCTCTCACCTCTCCCCCACTCCTCCGTTCTACGTAGACAAACACAAAACTGCTGCTAAACTGTGGTTGTACGGCGATTTTACGACTAAGCAGTGCAACCTGACTTTGCTCTGCCACTACTACTGCGTCGATACGTTGATAATTAGCCTACGCAGTGTCACCGTTCCAGTCGTTCTACTCGCCGGTGAAGTTGAAGACGAGTGAGGAGCTGTCAATGACATTACTCCTTCTGGTTTTTGACATGCAGCCTGATGGTGTGCACATTTCTTCTTCCACTTGTTTCTCTAAAGACGGTTTTGGTCACATTATACAAAGTACCTACCCCAAAATTTTGTCTCCGATTTCATTATCTTCTTCGCCTTTCATGGGTACTTTAAAGCCGCTCCAAATTAAGCTTCGGGTTTCCCTGGTTATCTCGTAAATGATGCAAACGATTCTTTTGTTGATAGTTTTTGGTGTACTAAGGTTTGTTCTCGGTCCACCACTGGCAGTAAGGCCAAATAGCGGACTGGAGGAGGCACAAAAAGTTAACGTAGCCTCACAACACATGCTGTAGTTCCTTATTTAAGGGAACAGTCACAAAAAGTTTTTCTAGTCCTTTGTTTAAGAAAAAAAATTTCTTTTGAAGAGTAACAGTTTTGCCGGCTTAATTCCACTTTATAATCCCTGAGGCGTGGAGGGAGGTGACTGGTACTTCGTCTTGTCTGTTCTCTACTTTCTGTTGAGGGTACCCATAATACTACTTTTTTGGAGAAAAAAATTCTCTCTAAAGGTCTCAATTTATTCATTTCGACCAAAAGTTGTGCTTTTACATCACATGGAATCAATTCCCTGGGCTCTAGAGTAAAGTAAGATCTTTGAAAGCCTTGACAGGACTAAACAGGAATGCACCAAGTCCGGCGATGTGCCAACGCCTCCTTTCGCCATCCAAATAGATCTGCGTGGGGAGAGACACAGGTGGACCTGCAATGACCCCATGAGGTTTCGGCATTTACTTTGCTTTGAGACAAATTTTATGACCGTGTCGTGGTCGTGGTGAAATGCGATGCATGGGATGATACGGTGGATGGCGGTACAGTGGGAAAACATAAAATCTGCGCATTCGAGAGTCACGGTTGCACGTCCATTCTCAAACAGGCTTTAAATGAGTTGGGTGTAGTGGATTGGAGTGGAGTGGATAGGGCAGGAGTGAAGTAACGCCGTCCCCTGAGGTTGTCGCTGTGGAAACGTGGTCAAAAGCGGCGACGACGGACGGTTGTTGCGCTTTGGTGATTACATAGACAGTGTCTCAGACGTTTTTTTGCATTGGTGCGAAAATTGCGGATAATTTGAAATGTCTATCATCTTTAGACATGGAATACTTAGTGCAGTGGTGCTTAGGCACTGTGCTGGTGGTGGTAGGGAGTCCTCATGCTTGACATTGTTCTTCCAAATTCAAATGGTGCGCGGGCTTTGTGTTCAAGTGACTCGTTTTCTCGATCTCCCACGGTAGGAATCGTTAACTGGACGCCTTCATCGCGGCCATATTCCGTGGCCCTAGAAAATGGAGATAGGCAGACAGATAGATAGGCAAAACTCGTACACGGAAGTAGTTTTCCATGTGGGGCATTTAATCTCTCAGGCGGCGGTTGGGGAATCGTAGGAACTTGGGCAGAAAATAATACTGGCATGGAAAGACTTTCCCCAACCCTACGGTGCAGACAATGTCCGGTACTGTGTTGTCTGGCGCAATCGCCGTCATGATTATGAATGGGTTTGACGGGAGTCGAGTCAATTCAAAATCGAGTCGGAAAGTTCTGTATAGCCGATCTGAATGGTGGAGTAGAAGCCTTGATGGACACTTTTCTACCCCAATACAAATTAACTGGCAACCTTATAATGTCCTCCTACTTCATTCTTTTATCATTATTATCCAGTCAATGCACCAAACTGATGTTTGCGGTCCTCGAAGAAGTCGGTTTTTACATTCTTGGTTTAAGTTACCTGTGTACACTTTGTTGGAGAGGCGGGTTTGGAAGCAGCCTTCTAGTACAAGCACACCAAAGTACTGAGGTACGACTTGCCCCATCCGACTGGACCAACCCCATTGTTGTCCTGCTATCGAACCTGACTTTTTTTTTGAGGTGTCACCCATCCAAACAAAGAAATTAGCTGAAGAACAGAAAACAAAAGTAGATGATGCACTCTTATTTTCGTTTGAACGGGCAGTTTTCCACATCCCACCGCATTGATGCTTCTTGCAGACTTTGATGGCATTCATTTATCATGTTGTAGAATGCGCCACTTAAATCGGCAATCGAACTCTAAAGGCAAAGCACTTTTCGGGTAGAAATTTCATTCCTGACAAAAAAATTGAGAGAAAAACAAATCTTCTTCAAAGAAGGTGGAATTTTGCCTCAAAGGTATCGTGGCGCCTTCCTTCCTCTGTTTTTTTTTGGGAAGAGGTAGAGGATTTGAAAAACGCCTACCTGGGCATATTCCACTCCTCATTCACCTTTTTTTCCTTGATATTATTGACCGTTCTTTAGAGGTCATTTCAACTCCACCTACTCCTGGTTTCTGTCTGTTTGTCCTTCTCGTTAGGTGGCACTTGATCACCGATGTGGCTGCTCAAATGTTGGTGGGATTTTAAAAACCTCCAATCCGTAGAATTGCAGATCCTCTCTGAGGCATCACCAAAAGCTGCTACCCTCCTTACAAGAGGTGTTTGGATTTGGGTGGATCCCACCACCTTACAACTGCCCCTTTCTGGGGCCCAGGAAGCAACAAGCAATCTGAATCGAGATGCTGTCTTTCCTTTCCCAGGTTGTTATGACTCTCTCAAACCGCTAGCTACTGGCTGCATTGTCAGCCCAAAATCTTGCGTCTGTTTTAAGCTTGATACGCTAGGAATCTTTGGCAGTGATAGTATCTTTGAAAAAGGAAGGGAATGTTTATTTCCGACACCGACATACCAACTGATTGCGGTTATTTCTAACCTCCAAGTCCGAAGCACGGACGATTTACTCTTGCCTCCGCCATCACAACACATACAATCCCACTTTATTAACATAAGGAGTCGTTTTATCTGGGGGTCTTGCATCTCACTCTCAGGTCAAATCTATGCAAAATAGGAAGGAAAGAGAAAGAGCTATAAATGTGTAAATGGCTTTTTTCTCCTCTCGTGTCAAAGCATCAGGGCAACACTTTCACAGGTCATAAAATTTTTTTTCACTGCTTCATAAAAGTTTGGTTTACTTTTTTTTCACAGCGGTGGGTGGAAGATAAGACCGCGGTGCTTTTGGATAGCGACAAGGTAGTGATCACGCTAACCCTGAAACAATGTCTTCCATCTCCCTCTCTCCCTCCCTCTCAACCGCTGGGAGGGTAAACCACCTGGGGATAGGGATAGAGGATAGGGAGGTCGGATGCGGTTAAGCTATTTTTAGGGTGGAATGCTGAACTTTTACACTCATTCTAAGGGTGTAATTTAGCCTTTTCATAATCTATTAGTAGGGGAAAGGAGGAAGACAAGAGAAAAGTACATTTAAAACCATTTTAGGGTCGACAACTTCCCTGTCAATCATTGACATTGACAAGCAAATTAAATCTTAACACAAATATTTGTCCCCAACGTCTCAGTCCTTTTTTCGAGCAAGTTGTATAACCATCTTCCAGCGATCTTTATCCTTGCAACAACAAGGAATTCAAATCGGTGGGTGCGGAGGAAAGGATAGTGGAGGTGAAGAGGGGAGAAGAGAAATGGGCACACAGGTTCCACCGAGATCTGCACTTGATTCGTAGAACTTTTAGTGTCCTTAGGTTTGACCACCGCACCATGGGACCACGGGTGTCGTGACACCGCCCTGCTTACGCCCATGGACAGATTGCCACAGTCAGCGAGACTAAAACCGCGCCCTCGGAGAGGCTCAAAATCTCCACCTCCGCAGCATAAGTACGGAGCTCTATCCGGCTAAACTTCAGGGGTGGCATAGTCAGCTTTTGTGTCACGATCTCCTTGGTTATTTCCACATTGCCGACTGCTTCCACCCCTTACCAAATCGAATGTAATCACAAGGGACGGGTGGAGGCGGGTGGGTGAAGAATCTCAGACGAGGTAGCATAATTATGAGGCCTTTTCGATAACCCATTCCATCTTTGTATTTATCGGTCTAATGCGAGATGTTTTGTGTTGTTTTTTCCTTTTTATACAATTGGATTATTTGTTTTGATCGTGCTCTTGCCATCCCATTTGACAGGTAATATTACCTCTATAGTCGCTAGAAAATTATCTCATCATTGTTGTCAAGATTACTTCGAGAAGGAGAGTGAAAAAATGGAGGTTCTGACAAAGTCTTTAGACTATGGAAGTACTACTAACTTGGAGTTTGTAAAGCTTTATAGGCTTGGCACTTTTGACACGCTTGTTAATTGGATCTGTCTCAGTTCCAGCTCCTTGAGGGATGAAAAGCCGGCAATTATCTATAGATCTCAAAAGCATCCTGCACTAGCTTTGCGTTTTAAGGGGAAACAAGAGCTGCTTCAAACGTGACTTCATGCAGTTTGCTGGCGCGAATCCATAAAGTCTACGTGACTTGTCGCACCGAGTTCAGTCGGTAAAATCGGGATCGCATGTGAGTGGTAGCGGTTGAATAATGGAGTCCATCCCAGTGGAGCTGCTTTTCACCTTTACTGGCTACCTAGTCCTCGAATTGTCTCAACTCATTGGACTTGACGGGAGAGATTTGTCGAAGAAATGAAACTTTCGCCTGTGTCTAGGTTCCACTTATGCCGTCTACAATGCCCCACCTCACAATTGGGGGAGGGTGGAGATAATGCTTTACGAGTTGATCCTCAGTTTGCCAGTAAGGGAAGAAAAGAACGCTCATTCTGCTAACATATCTTGTTTTTAAGAGACATTTTGGTTGAAAATCTTTTGCTACTTAAATTTAATCTATTAAGTAGTATCGCCCTAGATGGTCAGGCCAACCTCAAAACCGCAGGAAAACGCATCAACAATGGCATACGAGGCGATGGTGCCACTTGGGAAGGGGGAGGAATCGGTTTGTTGGGAAGACATGTACTTTGGTATAAACCATTGTACTTTCCCATTCTTTTGGGGCATAAACCAGTAATTGGAAGAATTGACATTTAGGGTGTTACCTCGTGATCCAGCCTTCCCAATACGGTACCATCCTCTGCATTTAATCGATTCGAGGGTAAGAAAACACTGTTAATTTAGCTACAACACCACTTCCCGTTTGTTACGCCTCTTTCTACTCATTTCTGGATTTCCTTAAGCAAAAAGATACATTTATGTGATATATGGATTGCAAGGAGATGCTTAACTCTCAGAAAGGCAAAAAACAGGTTACAATTTTTCCTCCCGCTTTGGTATGTGACAACGACAGTAGTATTTGTGGCACATGTTCACCTTCCTTTCGTGTCCCAGTTGTAAATTATCCAAGTAGTCTCCTCCCTCGTTTTTCCCCGACTTCGGCAGAATCCCATCCAAACTGGCACAGAAAAGACGTACTGGAATTGACTTTGTTTGCTTTCCTTTTAAAATCACCCTTTTCCCTTTGCCAAGCAGCACTCGACTCTCATTGGTGGATAGGTCTCCGCCCCATCCCCACCCGCTTTCTTGGATTTCATTGGTCCGTGCATTGCTCAAAGCTGGTCGAAATGACTAAGTTGGGTAACTTGGCTAACGTCCAAATGGGCTGTCGCAGTCCGCGACTCAATTAAGACTGCGCGGATGGCGGTGGTGGGGAGGTTACTATGACGCTTCCGCACCCTACTCATGAGTAGACGGGCGAAGCCTAATCCAGTAGACATCGTGGCGCTACATGTCTGGAGGCGACTTTGTTATGGGGGTGAAGAAGAGTTTGGAGACCAACGCCACAGTCCCGTTCCGCTGCAGTGGAGGCAGACACTCAGGAGACTGGGTAGAGCTAAATTAAGAAAGACTATTCGATTTCTTAAAGCAGGCCGTGTTTACCCCGTGCCAAGTTGTCCCCACTCCGCAAGCGATAATGTTTATAAATTTGATTAAAAAAATTAGCTTCGGGTCTGGGTAATTAATTTTTATAACAGTATCCAACAGCAGAACAAGCAGAGGGCCTGGGAGACGGTAGAAATGACCGGGCTGGTCGCTTCCAAGATGGTGATAAAAATCGAGCACGGAGCTCTTCAGTTCCCGCGGTTTTGGTCTCATGACTGCTGTTACATAGCATTCCACAGCTTAATCTTTTTCCCGCACTGGTGTGGCTTATTGTCTCCTTGGAGATGCCTCAGAACGCTAATTCGCTAACCGTGGAGGGCTAAGTACGTTGAGACTCGCCATGACCGCTTAGCACAGTGACCTCTAGAGCGACACCAGACTTGAGGTATTCAGACGGACAGTGATGTGTAAAATACGGGGGTCATGGGTTGATTGGCCTTCCATTTGTGTGCTTGGAGGAATTCTTTCTAAAAATTTCTCTGCACATGCGGTTCGGGAGATTTGAGAATTAAATACCTAAAAAATTTTCCAAAATGTCTTGGTCGTCGAGATAATCACAACGGGTGTTTACAAGTCTCTCACCGAGACATTGGGCCATTAAAAAATTAACCTTCGGACAATCTTTTATCTTTCCTAGTAAACAACCGAATCGGGTCCCAGAGACCACCGTTTCAAAGTCACCTTTTCAATTGCCCAGTTTATATTGCATGTGATCATGTTGTTGTCTGAAGGCTAATGACAGACAATACGATGACGAGGCAGTAAACAGTGCCTCCCCACCTTCCTCTTTCCCGTCCTTCCTCATCCCAAATTGCAGTATAGGGGATTCTTTTTACCGGGTAGACTATGTGGGCATTTCTCCCCTTACCCGAATGATCAGTCCTGACCGGTTTCCAAGTCAAGACTTTCTTGTTTACATCCAATTTGCGTTGCATCAAGGCGGCAGATCGCAGTCGTGGTTGCCCTACCCTTGACAAGGACGATTTTGCCAGCAGTGCAACGCATGAAGAAAAGAGGTGCGTGGACTGGAAGTCTGTGGGTGGACAGCTGATGGATCGTTTGGGCTGGAGGATTCTGCATTAGTCGGCTTGAAGTTGCAGTACAATGCCATGTCTCATGTCCATCACCAGTTAGCGTCGCCAAGAGGTGACAGGTTGGTAGCACCTTAAATTATTGTGGGTCGTCTGTTTTTAATACTTGGCATGTGGCACCCAATTAACGTGGTAGCTTGCGCGACTTACTCCTCCCATTTGGTGCTGGTTCCCAGGAGATCCTGGAAGCTCCTGCCAGTTTGTGGGAGATGGCGTAGGTATGAAAGTATTGTCCATGTGGTGTCATCCTAAACTTGAGTGGTTGATGTTCAGAATGGGGTTATTTATTAAAAACATATGATTTTGGGTAGTGCACTGTCCTCCTACCACCTACCGCATGATACATCGCTCGCCTCCTCCAAACACAATACATCAAATTTGGCGAGAGACTCCTGCTTCAGCCTCGGAACAAGGTCAGACTGGAGTCACATTCATCAATTTGAAGCGATGTTTTGTGGTGTGGGACCTCGAAATAGGATAGGAGGGAAGCAGTTTCGAGTACACTGAGGAGCTCCAACAGACCGGGGTGTGAGTTGTGCAGCCGACTACACTCCGCTAGCCCTCACAGATTGTTAACTAATGCTGCCGACTGTTTACCTGTTATTTTTTGTCTGCTTTTTTTTCTCGGAGGAAGTTAAGATGACTTTCTAATTTCACAAGTGTATTATCCAAACTGGAGTGTTTATGTCATGAGATTTATCAAGTACACTTGCTCACAAATACGTTTCGACTTGACCGTAATCAAGGATCTCATTTATTTAGGCGCCTAGTTTATTATTAAACAAAATACTCCTACTAAAACCTGCTAAAAGTTGATAATTTTGCATATTCTAAGGAAAAATACCTTTCGTTTTGGTTTCCCGAAGTCCCCTCTGACGTCGCAATAAGTCATACCACCGTGGAATAATGAAGTTCGGCGAGCCCGCGTGCTTAAAGATGCATCAAGATATACGTCGACCCACCTCTTTACTTTACAGATCTTAGTATCTGGGGTTACTTTTGTACACGGCAAATGCAAGAAGATTTTGTCTTTGGTGGTCTCTTTCTTCGACATTCTGTTTGAACTTAAACCAAACCACGTACAAAACTCTGTAACTAATGCCCCTTCCCGATACTTTTGCAGGAAAATGCTTTAAAGTGGTAAAATGCTGTTTAGAAAATCCAATGCTTGGAAATTTATTGCAGTTTGAATCAACTACTTATTTTATTTCAGCGCTTGACAAGTGATTGATGCGCCTTTGGACATGCACTCGCGGCACTTTCAGCTGTCAGCCATCAGAAGCCCAATAAATCATTTTTAAAGCTTAAACTAGAAAGTTCACCCTTGAAATTCTGTACCTCTCGTCACTAAGGGAATCGCTGTGTTTCATCAAAGTACTTAGATGCTAAGCTGGAAATTTTAAACCCACTCGGCTTTGGTGAATCAGGCTTCAGTACTTTTCCCTTCTTCACATCATGATAGTCCTCCAAAAGAGTTGATTTTTAGCCTTATTTTATTATCAGTGAATTGAAGATTCCCATTTTGGAAGGACTTAATTTGATGCGTTCGTTTCCCATTTTCCTAGTCGTCCTTAAAAATACGCAAATTTGGAGGCAAAAAGCGATCATTTGGAAACTAATATGTTTCGTCAAAATGATTTGCCTCTCGGAAAATCAAACCAGTACAGCATTTCCTCTTGTCAGATTAGAAAAAATTGGGTTTTTATACTGCAAACTACCGAAAAAGTGTGTTTACGTTCTTTCTGACGTTCATCTCGCTTAAGTCTGTCTTTCCGATTTTTTTTCTTTTTATTGACTTGTTTCCTTCCCACCGTTGGTTGCCACAGTTTTCTTGTATCATTTTTTCCTTACAAAGCGCAGTCGAGCCGTGTTGTTGACTTGATCGTGCGTTACCTCCTTCCGTGTCACTCCACCTACAGCGTTCTTGTCCTTCCTGCCACTTTGGGCTAGTCAACAAAAGATGCCTCATTCGAGCCCTCTTCAGTTGGTACATTCGAATCTCGCCTCTTCTTTCCCAAAATGTCAGCTAATTCCATAATAGGTCACAAAAACGCTCCTTCGACCTCCAGCTATACTCTCCCCACTCCCTAACAGACATTTCCTACCGAAGCTGGTCAGTTTCTAAGTCAAAAGGCATATCACTGGTAGTGTTTGTCCTTAATTTTTCTGTTGTTCTGTTTCCCTTTTTGCCTCATCGGTTCAATGTCTTTTTTTCTGCTCTTGCTACCCCTATTACTGGGCGGCAGTCATACGGCGGCCGCCGCCGCCATCACTTCCGCACTAACTTACTGCGAAGCACTCACTGCGTCAAAATTGCTTCTACCAGAACCTAGCCAACAGATTAACTTATAATTTTTATGCTAGCTTTTAATATCCCAGCTCCTTGTTCCAATTGTTTGCTGTCCGAGTCCCTGTTTTGCCCTTATTGTGCGTCCAAGCTCGTGCTGCTGAGTCGCTCCTACTGAATTATTCAATTTTTTAAGTAATAACTCACGGAGGAGGGAAAAAACAGATTTTAGAGCATTTAAAAGAGGTCAAAGTTATTAATTGTAGCGCGACGAGTCTTTCCTGAAGTATGAAGTAGTCATGGGAGTATGGTAGAATGTATATTGTCGATGTAGGGAAGAGCTGAGGCATTCGGATTGGCCTGGAGACCATTCGACTGAGCAAGAGCACAATCTGGGGCGCCTTAAGTGCCCATGAAGTCGAGGCGCAGAGTTAGGCAAACAATCAAAGCATTACATAATGAACCTTGTTTCACATAGAGTAAAAGAAATGAAGGTTCTAGTCTTCTCCCTCTTTACATCATCAGATCGTCTTCTGCGGTATCCTAAAGCCGCTTTCTTCAGTTAAAATGTTGAATTTCGTAATTAAGAACCAAGGTAACTGAAGAAGTAAAAGTGTTTATTAAATCTTGTTAATTTTGGAAGCAAATGATCCCATCTTTCTCCTGTTTTTAGGCCACAGGAGACGTCTATGCGGAGGAGAAGGCCGCGTTGCCCTCCGAGGGAGAGTTGGAACTAGGTCTCACATTGGAGAAGGTCACCACTGAGCAGGATGGTCAAAGGCTGATTTGCGAAGCCTCTACCAGCTATCCCCCCGATCAAGTGGCTGAACGGCAGTATACCGAAATTTCTGTTAACTGTAAGTTTGAATTTTTTTATCACCTTGTCAACCTTCGCGCCGAATTGAGAGACCCTTTTTGGAGTGATTGATTGTTTGGTTGGCTGCAGCTTCAGTGTTATCTGGGTAGACAAACCAATTGGTAATTTGTCTCCTGATCTAATGAATTATAAGTCACCCTCCTTTTGTATCAGTGGTCGCTACTGAAATGGAATATCAGTAGCAGTTAGGGTCGATGGTTAATCCCATGATTGATTCGCATTTCTAACTGTACCTAGTCGATGATTGGTCGCATTCCACTCATTCATCAGCGAGTTTTGAACAGTGATGGACATGAAATCTTCCTTATTGTTAAAGCATTCCCTCTCCTTTCACCGGTGCAAAAAATGTACGCCTCTTAGTATTTGTGTCCAATTTTGAAGGAATTCTATGTGCAGGTTTTTTGGAGAGTTTTGTGTGATACCTAAGAATGATGCTTCAGAAGCACTCTTTGTAAGACAAACACCACTTTTATTGAGATTTGAGTCCCTTCAAAACACTAGGTTTGGTGGATGAAGGAATCGAGAGATGGATGATGATTGGATTAGGAACGAAGGAATTGCGATTGGATGGACGAAACTGGGATGTATGAACAAGGATAAAGAGGTGATTTTAGGTGGAAGCAGAAATGTTTGAACATTTTTAGATGTATAAGTGAATCGGAAGTAGTAAAAACAAGGAAGAATGGGTGGTTCCACCACTGATGAATGAATGGATCAGGGATGAGTGGATGGAATGGCGAATTGGATCCCAAGGGGGGGAGGGGAGCGGAGGTCCTTCCAATTCAAAATATCTTTTTTTTCAAGTAACCAAATAGTTATCTCAGCCTCATTTTAAACCTGAAAACAAATTAACAAGCACGCCGCTTCTCACCAGAATTCCGATTTATGGTATTTCGTGGTCCAACAAAGTTGAATTACTAAATGGCGCACAATCCCTCAACGGGCTGGATGGCCAGTCTTCGATCTTCAAGATTGTGCAACTAGCCTATCCGAATTTGTAAGCCATCATCCCTGAAGGCGTAATAAGGCGTAGGCCGGTAAAAGGCATGCGTAAATGTTTGAAGATCACACCGTGACGCTACTAGGTTGATGATCAGACCGTGGGGAGGGCTTGGGGTGCAGTTTATTGGTCTTGAGACAGGAGGGACGATGATGCGATAAGGACGACTTCTCATTCGGTTTCTGGTGCTAATTGTCGTTAATTTAGGTAGAAATCCTAACTACCGCATCCGCCATAGGAGAAAAATTATACTGGTTAGGGACTGATTTGTAAATTGGGGCTAGAAGGTGGCCTGCAACGCCAATTGCTTGGAATGGACGAATCCGCTCTTGACAAAGTGGTCAGGAGCTCCTGAAGAAGGCTGCCATCAAGGTGTTGAAGGCGCTATCACTGCCTAGTTTGCAGAACTGACGATTGGGCGATTTCAAATGCCGCTTCTGACCAATGTCCCCACAGATTTAACCGTCTACAGTCGAAGTCTTTCCATTGTGGTATTTGGGCAGCAGTTACTGATCAACAAAATTAGTGTCTCTATTCATCGGGCGTGGGTCAACCTGACGTCTCAAGCCATCCCCGAGGGTGTAGCAAACCACATTGGTAATGGAAGAAGCTACAGGCATGACATTAAGATAGGGACTGAAGCTCCCGCACACTGAAATGGAATAGTAAAACAAATCACTGAAGTTGATTGGCAGACTTGATTTTAGACACCAAAGCAGGTCCATTCGACCATGGATACGAAATCAGTAGTAAGCAGTAGGATGCAACCTCACCTTACAAGGCCTTTAAAGTCTGTCTCTCAGTAGAATCTTCTGTTTCCCTCCAACCTCTAACATTCCATCGCTTACGAAGCTCCAGGCTATTAAATTAGGCAGAGGTGATCGGTAAAGAAAATGCATGCATGTATATTTTTGTGGCCAGCAGTGGTGTGGTCTTGTCATTTTTTCCCGATCTCTTGCTGCCAACAAATTAGCCTAAAATCGGCAAGTAAATTCATGCAACTTCACTTTCGGGTGTGTCTTAGTTTTTGTTTTGCCCCTCCTATGGCAAAATGAGGGAACTACGAGGGGATTGTCTTCACTGGTCACCTAGTGAATACTTATGGGGCTTGTCGCCTGATAGCAAGTGATCCCCGAGAACCCCATAGGCTAGTCCGCTTGACTTGGCTCTATGCGTCCTCCAACTTTTGACATGATTGTGTTCTTTATATTTGAGGTTTAGGATCAACCGTTCCTTTTGTTGAGTGTTTGTAGGAATGAGTGATTATTGTCTTACTGCTGGAGGTATGAGCCTCCTGTCACCGTATTTTTAGTGGATCCAGACATCACCCACCGTTGTCCGCTACCTACCTCTCGGCAGCGTTAGGAGTGCCGTCACGAGAGAATGACTTTTAAATGATGTCAATTGAAAGCTCCTGGCACTACTTCTCGGTAAAATCCTTTGAGAGGTTAAAATCCCACCATCCCGTAGAAAAGGCAATTCTCCACACCCTTCTAGTCATCATTTGTTGGTGATTTTAAGAGAGGATGAATTCAGACGTCTGCATCTTGTTAACCTCCTCATTTTTTAAGACACAACTTAAAAAAGGAGTAACGAAAGAGATGATTAACCATATCTCCGTCCAAGAAAGGAATTTCAGCCACACTGCTGTTGTTGTAAAGTTGCCTTCGTTCGGACTTCTTGGTCATATTTTACCTGCAAAATAAGAGCACTTATACTGCATCGGAATCGTTGATGTTTTCAAATGAAAAGAAAAGTATTTTTTCCCTCTTTTCCTTAAAAAAATGACAAAGTTGTGTTGACAACTAAAAAATTTTTGGAAAATGGAGATGGAATAGGGGGACTTTTGCCCCTGGATTAACAATGCTATATTCTTGAAAAGCCACCGTAAAAGGATGACTATTTTTGAAAAGGAAGTTTTCCTTTTATCCCGCAAAGAAAGAGATTTTGAGAATTTTAATATTTAGTCACGAGAGCTCTTGTAATCCAAGGGTGACGCATAAAGAGGTCGTAAAAGGATGGTTTATCGGCTAGGTAAAATTAAGGATGGGTTGATGGATAAATGGACAAATACGAAAAGGGCGGATTTGGTAAGAGGACAAATGGATGGTAGAGTAACACACTAGTCCAGAATGCATGGCGATGAACGGACAGTGCTTAAGGACATCCTAACGGGTTGAAAGAGGTGTGATACTTCTGGAAAGGTAAACACCTCCGATTATTTGAAGAAAAGGAAGGATAAATTAGTCATCGAGTGTGAGGTTAAACGAGCCGAATCAGCACGTTGGAGATTCGGAGGTAAATTAATGAGTTTCGAATCCGCTGATAGGTCACCATTGATGGATAGACGGGTGGATAGATGGTTTTCCAACAGACAGGTGGATGAATAAGTGAATAAGTTTTCTTAGTGGATAGTGGGGAGTAGGTTGAAAGGAAAATATAATTAATAAGGGAACTTTTCGATGCTTGGGCAAATAAGTGGACTTAAGGGCAAACGACTCCGCTGATGGGAAGGCCGTATCTGAAGGTAATCCCTCAGATTAATGTAGAGCTAAGCGAATAAGTAAAAGTTAAGGGTATTTCCACGTTCTGTGCAGCATTTTTGATCCTCGGTATTCCTTTTTTCCCCAACATATTTTGACTTGTCCACTTGGTGGTACCTTTCTTTGACCCCGCAAAGTGGGTCGACTAGGGGGCCATCCTTTGAAGTGCAAGTAGCGCAGTTATTTCACTCAATTGAATAATTCTTTCGCAAACTAGTAGCAAATCCCGTTTATACAAAACTGCTTTTGTCTGTAGTAATCGTGCTATCCGCCGATATTATTAGCAAGGTGGTAGTCATCATCCTGGATGAGGTACTGCCCTCACCCTCTCGCCACCCCATTAAGGGCAAATCTGTAGACAGACAGGTTTAGTGACAGTACGCGACACTGAATTTTGTCCTGCTTGGAGAAAACTTTCTTCTCATTGGCTGACCGATCAGTCCTGGCTGGTTTGTTCCCCATCAAGGCGGTGGATCTCAGTTACATTCGCTTTGCTCCTGACAAGGATATCGAGGTGAATGAATGTAAGATTCCACCTGCAATGCATCACACAAATCGTGGATACGAAGAAGTCTGTGGATAGGCAGTTAGTGGATCATTTGGGCTGGACGATTCCGCATTCGCTGGCGAGAGGTTGCAGTACAATGTCATTTCTCATGTCTGTTACTGGTCAGGCAGTCAATGGGTCAGTGTCCGTAAGCAATCCAACGTAGTGGAGTGAGGTTACAAGTTATTGCGTGACATATGGTACCCATTTAGCTCGGTAGCCTCTACGATCTACTCCTGTTATTTGGTGCTGGTTTCTAAGAGAACCTAGAAGCCTCCTGTCAGTTTGTGGGGGATAGTGTAGGAGTGAAAGTATTTTCATTCCTAAACTTGAGTGGTTGATGGTAGGAATGGCATTATTTATTGAAAACATTTGATTTTAGGTGGTTTTTTGTTTTCTCACCGCCCACCCCATGACACATCGCTCTATACATCAAACTTGACGGGGCGCTCCTACTTCAGCCTCAGAACGAGGTCGGGGTGGAATCACATTCATCAATTTGAAGCAATGTTTTGTAGCGTTAGACGCATGATGCGTCCGTATGGCTAATCGCCTCCAATTCTGCCAGTTTCTACTACCTTCAGCATTCGATTTCAGCCGGCCACACTCGCTCAAACGTAACCGTCAGCAGTATAGGTGCAACCGGTATTTAAATCTCGGCTGTAACTATTAAAGGGTGTAGCTTTTACTACTTATTGGTTGAGGATGTATCAGCTGGGGTCATTCCTGAAGGCGAGGGAAGGCACAATATGTAGTGGCGGCCTACAGAAGGGCTGACGACTACTGGCTTGGCTCGGAGGCCTTACTGCCGGGTAAAAGTACAAAAGCGGAGCCTTGAATCGCCCACAAAACCAGGATGAAGACTAAAACAAGTAAAGTAGGACGCAGTGAATGCTATTCTTTACACAAAGGGATGTAGAAGTGCTTACTTTGAATGCAGCCTCAACTGCTTCTCCCTTTTGCTGGCTTTGTTTTCACTTGGGGCGGGGCATGACTTTTACACACAAAATAAGTTCACTAAAAAGCGGTTTTTTGTAAACTTTTAACACTCAAGCGATATGTTACATGGTACAGTACACTGACGTGAAGTTCATCGCCCCCTCCGCATCTCTTAAATCTATGCTTCTGCAAGGCGCGAAACGCCGCCAAAGGGCTCTTTCATCCCCTTTCACCGCGAATCCATCCTCTGTGACAAAAGGTGTTTTACAAAAACGAATTTTTATATTCCTATTTGACTGGATTTTGTATTTTCCTCTACGGTTCGAAAATATTCAAAATAGTGGAAATCGGAGGCATTGTTGGCCCGAATTTCGGTTTTTTCGGTCGGAGAAGGGGCAACCCCAAAGGCCCCATTCTCATCACACGAATTTGCCCCAAACATCAATCCTTCGTAAAGTTAAGGGGAGTTTGAACTTTTGGATTTATTTAGGCAAAAGAAGTCTTCTTTTTTAGCCTGGAGTTCACGTCTAATTGACGCAATTAAAAGGGTAATTGGGGTACGACTAATAAATTCCTGACCATTTGCACTTGTGGATCCTTAAGGGTAAAGGTTTAGATTTTCCCCTTTATTAAAAGGACTTTCTCACGTCACTGAGGTTAACAGAAGGAAATTTTATACCAAATGATATCACTTTTTGACTTTGTTAAGCATTAACACAAAATAACAATTCTAAAGTTCTTGTACCGCTGCGAGACTTCCCTGACGACGAAGGAGGACGTAATGCTTGGGCAAGATATGTACTGTAGGCGTACAAAGGGGCTAGGAGCTACTGGCATGGTCCAAAGGGCATGGCGCCCCTGCAGAAGTACAACTGCGGAGCCTTGAGTTCCCATGTAAACAAAATGCAGTTTTACATAGCCCCCGTTCCCTTTTTCGAGCATCCTCCTTGGCTCCACCCTTGGTCATCCTCTCGCATCAACCATCACAACATAGTCGATGTTGTAGGAAAGACATCCAGCCACTGAATTTATATGCGACTGAGAAGATACTTGACCACAACGTCACTGATCCGTCTTGACAATTCCACTGGATCTGGCGTTTTGTCCCATTTGAAAACTGCATTGAGGGAAGGGGGAAAGAGCTGGCCATCTCGCATCTTCATTGCAAGTCGTAAGACCACTGGCCCAAAAGCAGAGCCATTTGATAAAGGACGAGGTTTAAAATCGTTTTATGAGGATAAGATTTTGCCTCATTTCCTCCTTGTCACTTTGTTATCATTTTTATGCTATCTATCTGGGTTCTATCCACCTAGCAAGGAAGTGTGGGAAATATCGCACGTTCACCAAATTGTCATCATCATACAGGCGACGTAGACAGCTCCGCAACGAACTTTCCCAGATGATTCACGGCTAGTGTTGCTTCATATGTTAATAACATTCCTGTAGACCACGAGATTGGGGCAATTGCTGAAGGTAGACGTCATTCTCAAGCCTTTTATTAGGGGTTATCACAGACTATCCCAGCCACAGCATATACCCTTCTTCCTTCACGCTAAGATTTAGCATTTAGGAATGAAAATTAGTGTAGTTGTCCTTTATATTCGAGTTCCTGAAGGGCCAAGGGCCTAATAACATGGTCCCGAGTCCATCCCGCCTAGTGGAAGTACAGAAGCGAAGCCTTAAATATCCTTAAAAATAAAAAAGGACTTAAACAAGTAAATAAGGTACTTTAGTTCTACTTGCCCATTTATCCTTTATCCACCAGCTTAGCTCGACGGTATGTCTTGGAGACAAAAAATTGGAAAGAAAAAGAGGAATTGAAAAATGCAGCCTTGTCCGAGCGTGCCATATCCCTACTTCTGTCTGGTTGGTCGGTTGTCACTGTTGTCTACTGTAAGAGGCTATCCCCATGGGACGATTATGGGCACAAATTAAACACATCCCGCATAAATGAGGAAGAAATTATGCCTTGCCTCACTTCTGGGTGTTTAGGCTAGAGGGCATGGGTGTGTGCGTGTGATGCGAGCGAAAGTTCGCTTGCGCCGAGAACGTTGTACCGGAGGGACGTCATCACACCCACCTAATTGAACCTTATCTACGACATTAAAAAGCGGGATCATGTGGAATTTTAGCTGTTCAACAGTCAGAGAGTTGGTCTAAAATGTTTTTTTTTGTTTTCTGACACTGCTCAAATAGATTGGAAGGCGGCTTGTCTCATTCATAGTTGATGACTAACCTGCCGAAACTTGAAAGAAAAAGTAGGCGATGAATCATTCGCGGTGCACAGAGTGTCAACTGGTTTAAAGAAAACAATTCTTTTCTCATTGGAAAATAACAGGTCATATTGACTTCCTATTATCGGGGGATATGAGTTAACCGGTTTCTTAAAAGTCGCCTCGATGGCAGAGTTCCAGATTTACCATTTTAATCTTTCTACAGATCCTCCTCAAATTAAATTCGATGATGGTCCGATTCACACCGCTCTGGGAGCGGCCGAAAATATAATGGTAAGCCTTTTGAATAGATAAAAGGCCACTCCTATTCCGGGCATTTTAATACCGTCTATTTGCCCAACCCTCCTCGTAGGTCACCGTCCACGGCAAACCCAAGGCCGATTTGGTGTGTGATCACATGGATTTGTCCGGTGCACGAGAACTGGAGGCGCTACCGGATGAGAAACCGGGTGTCAATCGCTACTTACTTCGTCTTCAGGGTGTCACTGAGGAGGATTTGGGTGAGCACTTCTGTTCCGCCACGAACAAGTTTGGTACCGCCAAAGAAAGCTTCTTCTTGACTCGTGAGTTCGTCCATGAAGTTCCCTACTCAAAATTGGCTCCATAAATGAGATAAATTAATTTAATTTACAGTTGCACCTTCTAAACCGGAGGTAATATCACCTACGGTTTCCAGTCACGCTGACTACTACCTTCTGGGATGGCGAGCCAAGTCCAAATCACCCCTAAGAAATGTCACTTTCCGCATTCAAACGGTAAGTTTGAAGGTCAAATACCCGACTCTACAAATCCACTTGAATCCAAGAGTAACTTACTGTCCCCTCAACTTGTCGTCTCTTTCAGTTTGATAACGAAATGGATGTAAAAGCAAAAGCGAAAAGGGAAGAAACTCGAACGGTTTCGCTTAATGATCCGATGGTTGCTAAGGTTAATACAAGTTCCGAGGAGCTGCAGGAGTTTTGGCACCACCTCGCCAACCTGACATTCGATGCCAAGCATGCTGTTCATATTCGTGCATGTAATAAGCACGCCTGTAATGAATTTGACCTCCAAATACCCGATGTCACCTTCAGGACGATGAAGGAATACAGTGAGTGGAGGAGATAAGTGGCGGTTACTGATACCTTCCTAGTAATCAAACTAATAGGCTATTGCTTGGTTATTTTAGGTTCAAATAAAATCGACCCCAACATTCTCGCACAGCCACCGTCAGCCGCTCTTAGAGGTAACCGAATAGTAGACCTAAAATGCCTTAAAAATATTGAATCTATCACATTTAAGCAACTCCTGTATTACGCGGAATTAAGTGAGACTGCCCTCTCCTTTCCAGCCGCGGCTTTCCGTGACTTCAACGTAGTAACGGACCATGCGCTCTCAACGTCGTCTGCATCACTGCTTATCCTTCTGGCCCTCTCTTTTGCCACTAATTTGTAGGAAGCGAGGAATAAGGAAGTCGCGTATTTAATCCTTTACCCTGTCTCCAGTTCCCTAACCCCTCACACCTACCTTCTTGCCTCTCATCCACAATGCTTAGAAATCAAGGATTATCCATTCCAGCCCATCTTGTTTTATTTTGGCTTTGTTTCTTCTTTTTTTTGCCCCACCTTTAGATATTTTCTTTTTACATCTCTTTAGTCTTTTACCAGGAAGTAATTTAGTCCCTCCTTGCTTTCTGCCAACTTGGTTTATTTTCTTTTCGGTTTCTGAGTATTTGCTCTGTGTTTACTCCCCCATTTCTGTCAAACTTTCTCCCTCTCCGAACCCTTTCTCTCTCCCTCTCACTCTGTCTTTTTCTCTCGTTAGGCTGTTTCTATTGCTCCAGTAGATGAGCACCTGCATCATGTTTTAATTCTGTGTAATAACTACAAATTAATAACCACGGAGAATTCATCCAAGCTATGTGGAATTTACGAGGCGGTTCTGGATTAAATTGCCATTATTATAGCGTCTCAGTCCCCCTGAAGAGGATAGCACATAAATTTAAAGTCAGCTGATGGATTGTTTTCGGAAATGCCGTAATCGGTGCCGGCCGAACCTGTAAAGACCGAAGGGACGGCGTAGAGATGCGCCGTCAAAATACATATGCAATGGGATTGTAGTCTCTAGGAGTAAGCTACTCGGACTAGGGGGAAGGGTACTTGGTCGATAAGAGAATGAGCAAGATGCACCGCGTTCCTATGTGGAAGGTTGAATTTTTTGGCCGCGTAAACGATTGCATGGAACACTTTAGTCAGCCTCAATTTAGGTCTTCGCAGTGGTGGCATGAGCTCTGCTTAAGCCGCATATATGACAGTTCTCCCACAAAACTATTCAAGTAGTGTGTTTTATGTCAATTCTTCTGCAAATGTATCAACTTCCTCCATTAGCGTACTCATCCAAAACTCAAGGAGTATGGACTTGTTAAAAGTCTGCCCTACTCATACTCATTTAAGTAGCGCTTCAGCAGTAATAATGGGACTCAATGCTTAAATGGTTTTATGGATACAAATTACCTTTTAACAGGACTACAGATCCAAGACAGCAAGAATGCACGTTCAACTGCCTTACTAATTTGAAAAAAAGTAGTTGACTCCACAGAGAAATAAACATGAAAAAGGATGCAGAAATGCTCTAAGATAATTGTTTTTTAAGCGGAAAAGGACAGATTCCTGATATCCCTCCTGTTAAAATTAAGCGATTTTAGGAATTATTAATGTATACTACTACTAAGTGACCATCGCGGTCACCTCAAGTAAACAAGTCGAATACAGTCTCATCTCCGCTCAAACATTTTAAGTAGTATTGTTTGGTACTACGATATTTCTCATGAAAATACGGTAACGTCCTTCAGTCTTGATCGGATTTGCACCCAAAAACTAAATGCAAATGACTCAAATCTTGATTCGCCTTTTAATGTGATATAAGTAATATCTCACTAGTCGTAAAATCATCGTTTTTTCAGCTGCTAGCTTTGACTGTCACTAGTGGTTGCTGTGGCAATTAAAAGGGATCCCTCGCATCCTGTTGAATTCGATGCAAAAACTCCAAATACCTAAGTGCCACTCGCTCTCCCAGACAAAGTGTAAAAGAGCATCCAAAGGATTCGGAAATGCTTAAAAGAAGAGCTGATCAGATAGTCATAATTACTGTTGGATAACCAAAAAGGTAAATCCAGTTTTTGAATATAGTGGCAACAGCGACGACTCGTAGCTCGCTTTATAGTGCGCTTTGGCAACCGCATGTATTGTTTGGGCTTGGGTAAGTTACATGGGGTTATTCCATTCAGCTGCATGGAAAATGGCGTGGAATTTTTTACCACCTGCGATTCTGAGCTGACCTCTCTAAAAGTGGGCCATTTATGTGACAAAAAAAGCTGTCAAACATTTACTATTAAGGCCAAAAACTGTTTGAAGACGGTAATTTTTTGACATTAGAGTTGTACAGTGCTGATTCTCATCGCTCGGCTTGCATCTCCGCTCCACGGATGATGAAACTTGTGGTGGCCTCCAGAGGACGAAATCAGCCTGTACAGCTGCACTCGGTCTCCTACTCGGTAGAGGCCAGTCTGACTGTAGCCATCTCAAAATCTCTTCTGCCTGGTATACGACAGTCATAAGTATTTCCAGGCGACGTTGAAAGTCTGTCGTGTCCCCTATTTTAGTTGCAGTAGGTGCGATGGGATATTTTGGGTGGGTGCTTCTGAGTTTTACGATCTGTGAGCATCTTGAACGGTGATGTGTAGGCCGTAGCCCTTACTGTACGCAAGGAGGCACCATTCAAGGCTTAAAATCCAGTCTTCTGATTGTGTATCTCTAATGAAAGTCTTTGCTAGTCCAATCAGGGTGGGATTCGTTCTTCTCATCTGCCGTGCGTGTGTAGGAAATCCCGTATCTCTTGCTTAGTTCAACAAGGAGTCGGTTTTTGAAATTGGCGCGGTGATAGCTGTGCACCATTTCGGGCGCTCTATGTTGGCAAGTACAGCGATTAAGGAAAACCAAAGCGGCTATATCGACGTCTTGTATCGTCATGTTTTCCTGGAACAGTCCACCATTACCAGAATATATCGGTTCCTTTTTTGGTGGTCAGTAGAGGACCCATGACGTCAATACATACTCTTTCCCCTGGAGACACTGTGGGCGTAGACTGGAGTGGTGCAGTCGCTGCAGCAAGTAGCGCAGGTTCGGCAAAATTAAAGCACTTCTGAAAAGACTGTAAACCACCTTCACCTTTTACTTGAGACGTCTAGCATCTTCTACTCACTCACAACCTCCAGCAGCTCATGTAGCCCTTGGAGGACTGCTTGTACCGATGAGTCTGGTACTTGCAAGAATGAAAGGGGGTCGTTTAGAAGCAAATAGGCTAGGAAAAAGGAGGATTCGCCAAATTTTTGGTATGACACAGAGGGCCTTGACGTGAGGGTGTTAGATATGATAGCCTGTTGCAGTTGGTGTACCGCGGGATTGTAAGCAACTCCTGACGCTTCTTTGTTTCGAGCTCTATGAGCACTCTGAGGACGTTGGTATCCGTGCCACGGAATTTCTCTACCATAACGGGTGGGTGGGGTCCGTGTCTAAACTGGACTGTTGTCCTACCAGGCCTTCTGGTTCGAGATGAGGCGCGGTAGACTCGTTTCGCTAGAAGTTGGAGGCTCATTGCGTACTTCCCATCATCGCCTGCTCTTTGGTGGCTATCGAAAATTCTTTATCGAGTGTCTTTTCTTCCGGCTTTACAACAGGTTTGACTAAGGTAGCAAAGCATTCTTCCAACTCGATGTCCACATTTATTCCTGCCTCTACGACGGCCGAGAATGGAATTTGGTGAGATACATAGAATGTGCAGTGAACTCTGACGTCGAAATCCATGTGGTACTTGAAAGTGGGGAGGCCCGTGGGCGATTACCTCCTCTGCCTTGGCGTTTCTTCCCTTGGAACTAGCAAACTGATTAGGTAGGGGCATTTGTTATTGCCAGTGCTATGAACGGAATGCAGTGATTAGGGTTATGCTGATCTTCCTCAGGGATGGATGATATCCGTTCCGTCCCGAGATTAACGTTCCCTGACCGCCTAAACGATCTATTCACACAAACCTGTATTGCATACCATCTGTATGTGTTTCAAAACAAACCACACATTACCACCTGATAAGAACCCACAACTTAATTGAATCCACAATCTTATGTCGCTTAAGAGATCCTCATCTGTCACTGGACGCCCATTCTAACTTCATCATCTTCCACTACATTGCTGGGACTTGTTGACTCAGCTTAACCTCTTGAATCACATTTGTAGCCCCTCGCCATTTCCATGAAGACTAGAGAAGATGTAACACTTGGACAGAATACGCTTTGGCAATACAGAGTAGGCCTTGGGGATTGCTGGCACGACCCGGAGGTACGATAGCGGAGCCCCAAGTTGCTGGTTACTAAAACCAAGAGTTGAAAAAGCAATCATTATATATCATAAAGGAAGTTTCCAGTTTTAATTTTTTCGTCTGGTTTTTGAACACCTAATATAAAAAGTGTGAAAGTAGCTTCATATGATGTGGAGTGGTTATTGCCTCCAAAAGAATAGGCTTTTCTTAAAGAATCAGGTGTCTAATTAACGCTACGTACCACTTAAAACGGAGAACATAAAAAAACAAGTTTACAACGGAATAACACTCATTTTAATGGCATATTTACCTACTTGGACCCTTCGTCTCCATGGTTTATGCCTCTGTCTTAGTAAAAAGGTCATGAGGTCATGAACTCTAAGCTCGCTTCTGCGTCATTCAAACATCGTTCTTCTTTGGAGGTGACTCAGTGCACTGAAATAATTTCCACTTCAACAATTTTTTTTATAAACCAATACCGCTGCAGCTGCCAAAAGCTAAGGTTTCTTGGTACATGACTCGATGCAGGGTGTTTCCCTTGATTTAAAGCAGTCCTTCAAACAGGAAAGGAGGACTGATTAGATGAGAAAACGCCATCTCTGACTTTCAACAGTTAGTTCTGTTCAATCCCTTTTAATGAGGCAAAATTACATGTAAATTTCACACAAATTATTTTGTTGAAAAGACTTAGTTACAGTTTCACCAATCTGTGACGAGTAGAAAATAGGCAGGAGATAAGTGCGTAAGCGTTAGAGATAGGCTAAAAATAATTGCACCGTAAGCTTAGAAATAATTTTTCATAAGATGAATAAAAAGTTAAATTAGCCCAAATTTTTTTGAGAATAAACCCCTGTCTGCTCAAAACATTTCTTTCTTTAAAATCCGGTTGGAGCCTGCCTCGGCCATGTCACTTCGTTGCTATTAGCACTGCAAGAGAAAGGGGTGAGAGAGAGCTATACGCACCAATCACGACGCTGAGCGCGTTTTTACCTCAACGTGACCTTAAACCTCGTGTGCGCATGTGTGCGCTACCGATGCATTTGACCCCACAACTGAAGCTTATAATTAGACGCAGCTGTTCCACCCACAATAATTGTGACTAAATGACTAGAGCTGAATGAAAAACTGCTGGAGTAAGAACTCCCTCTAGCAGGTACCCGCGACTACTGATTAGGGGAAGGAAGATCAAACGAAGAAAAAGCGATTAACTCCACGAATTTATAGAAGATAATTAAGTAGTATTCGTCCAGTCTGCTATCTCTTCTTTACTACGCAGGTGAATTTCACGATTCTAATTTTCATTCCTCAGAAAATCCATAAAAATAAAGAGACATTTAATGGAAAAATTAAGCCAATTAAAAAGGGTTTACAGGTGATCAGGTGATGTCCACTTGGTGACTCATTCACTGGCCACATGACGGCGAATGCGCATTATCGATTTTCCAATAAACCACCCCACCCGTCTACAGCTTGCGGCAATCACCTGATCATCAAGCTAAAAATCGATAAACAAGCGGAACAAGTGGAGCGAATAGCCCCTGCACAAATGGTGCAGATTTTTGCCCAAATATCCCTTTAAATAAGGAAAAAATTGCAATTTTTATTTCCGGTTGAAATTTTTTACTTTTAATAAATGTATTTTAAAATAACTATGCTAATTTTTGAGGAAGGTACAAAGAGACGGTCATATAAAAGGTGGCTGGTGGATATATATTCAAGACCTCGTTTTTGGGGATGGAAGTTGCAACCATTTTTCTACATAGCCCGCCTCCCTTCCCCCATATTTTGGCAGTTGTCATAGCGGTCAACTAATATAAAGAAATTCCTTATATAGGACTAGAATTAGCGTGAGTGTCCCCTAACAGGACGGACTTCCCAACGGCCATTCAAGATCAGGCGTTCCGCGCACTGTCCAGATATTCACATAAGTGACCTTTGAGGCTGTGGAATGGCAAAGCCACTACCACTTACCTAGAGACGGTTGCATTATTTAAGTGACTCACTGTGACTTAACTCCCCTACCTGGGGGCTCGATTTCACAACTTTCGTTTGCAGGATACTTTGCCCATTACTACTTATTGTTCCACACACCTACTCCCTGATTGGCGCTGATTGGATTTAAAACTTTGGTATCGCCATAGTGACATGCCTTCATGACTTAAACATTCTCCCTCAACCTTTTTAAGCGAAACGACGAAAGGCACGAAGACTACTTAAAACCCAGCGATTCAGTTTAAAGTAAAAATAATTTTACCAGGAAAGGAAAAAAAACATTTATTTATTTTTCTAGACGGTTCACAGAGCTAATTAAACACAAATAATAGTTGTTGCGGGGGGGTGATAAGAAAGACTAAATTTGTACTGTTTTAGGCCGTACGAACATACTTAGAAGTGGAGGTACTGGCCACCTCCTCGCTCTTCACCATCACGCTCTCCTCATCCTCACTCCCAGCCAATAGGATTTCACTCAAGTACTTGTGCTCGTTGGTATCCACTTCGTCGTGTAAATGTTCCACAAACTCCTCCTTATTCCGAATGGTGATACTGTGAATCTCGGAGAACATAGAAAACAGCCTTCTCAATTTGACGCCGTCCATATTGCCCTTCATCACATGGGAGACAAGCACGTTGGTTAGCAGCGTCTCAATGGCCACTACAGCGCCAGGGTCACTAACATCACTACGATCTGAAACAAGAAAAGAGCACAAAATACGATTATTTACACCCACATTAGTATAAACCTGAAGTCTTTTCATGTCATTTGCCTGAAGTCAGAAGAATACTGGCTACGAGGGCAAGCTCTGTTACATCCAACTTCCAAAGCAGAACCTTCCTTGCCAAATCACGAATGGCTTTTGAATTTCCATCAGCTGATCTGGCAATAAAGGCGTAAGCTTTGCTTGTGGTGACTGACTGGTTGTCACTCTCACTGTCATCTTCCTCACGATTAATAGTTGATCTAGCCATTTTCCTGGAAAGAGCTTCTACAGCGCGTAGTGTGAGAATATCGAGTAGAGACGATTGTAGTAGACGTGTCTGATCTCGGACGGAGAGCTTAATGAAAAAAAAAGTGGATGAGCTAATAAACGAAGCATAAGTGAAAGCGGACAGGTAAAGGCACTCTCAACCTACCAGCAAAAATCCAGGCACGAATTTGGCAAACGACAAGACGTCCAAGATCCTTGATTTGATGACATTACTGACTACTTCTAGAAGGGTATTCATCTTTTCTGATTGATCGGCATCATTGTTCTGAAAAAGGAAAGAAAGGAAAATTTCTTATAGCTCTACTATTTGGCTTGAATCCACATCACAGCACATTTCTAGAGGGTCTGACCAAGTCTGGATCATCACAACTTCGGTGACGGCCTATATTAAAACCTCTCTGCAACTACAACCTGTAGCTCCTTCAACAGAGGGAAGTCAATTACTACACCATCCCTTGCAGCTACTGTGAGCACAAGTAAGGAGTATCGCCTCACCTCACTTATCTTTTTCATGGCATCTCCTATCTTCACAGCGGTGATAGACATTGACTTGTAGGCTTCGGTCAGCGCCTTGGCAATTCCATTGTAGCTCGCAGAGCCCATGCTAACTGCAGCCGAAGCGGCAGCGCTAACAGAGGGGGTTACAATGGCAGCAGAGGATTCCAAACCTGGAGCAGGTTGCGGAACCTCATCGGAGCTGGACGCTGCTGCTGCCACAGCTGTCGCTGGGGCCACTGACGCCATTGACGTTGCACTCGTCGCTGCCGAGGTATTCCGCACTTTGGCCTCCGAACTCGTGGAGGGTCTGGTTATTGTAGTCGTTGTAGTGATGGTGTTGGTAGGAGTATCGCATTTCTGGGGTGAGGCCGATGTTGAAGCCGATGCCGCGGCTGCTGCGATTGCTGCCATAATCGCAGCCTCCTTCGACGGCATCAATTGTGAAACCTGCTCCAGGATATGAAAATTTGCATCTGGCTGAGGTTGCTGTTGGGACTGTTGATACTGTACCATTGAAGTGGAGGAGGAAGAGGGATACTGCTGGTGGGGCAGGTTGTGAGAGACCCCTGCCGAATTCCAATAGAGACTGGAGTTGGCTGATGAAGAAGAAGGCGAGGAGGAAAGGAAATCGGAGGGATTGATTGTCTCAGGTTTGTGAGGGAGATAAGAAGTAGTAGGTGAAAATGTGCTCGGGATTAAAGTTTGTCTCGGCTGTGGCAGTGGTTGAGGTGGAGGTGGCTGTTGTGGAGCCGCCATAGCCGCTTCTGCCTGTTTTCGAGCCCGATTCGCCTCAATTAATCGCCGCTTTGCTAGACGTTTGTCCTCGTCCAGTACCACTGAAAAAGGTGTCCTTTTGAGCTCCGAAAACCTGGTTGTATTAACCAAATGAACCACCACACTTACAATCCATTGCCATTCCACCCTTGATGCATCGGTCAAATCTGCACTTCTGGCAGCTGTTTCGGTTTTGCTTGTCACCCACGGAACAGTTTCCATTGAATTTACAGGTGTACTCGAGTTTCTTCTGCACTGAACGGCGGAAGAATCCTTTGCAGCCCTCACAAGTCATCGCACGATAATGAAAGCCGGTTGCGTTGTCACCACAAACAACGCACGGTTCAGGTCCATTCGTGGTGTCCATGTAGCTCGGAATGTAGGGTTCTTCTGACAAAAAGGGTTACAGGAGTGGAAGCAAATACTGCCTAGCACGTTTTCGCCACTTAACTCATAGCAATCAACTTTCAAAATGGAATCAAACGCAAGCAATAAAACAGCAGGGTTCAGCTATCAAGCCTAATTTAAATAAGCCATCTGAAGAGAAGTAGTTTCAGTATTCGAGCCGATACTACTAGTTCAATTTTAGTAGAAGATTTAGTCAAATGGATTTTTGCGATTTTCTCCTTCAAATGTTTACCTTTTAAATCTCGATGGGAGGTATGGTAAGGTGTCTGCAAAATATGACCAGAAGTGAATTATCGCACTTCTATGAGCTTTACGCATTGACTTGGGGGAGCAATTCGTCTGGCGTCAGCTTCTTCGCTAGGCTCTAATCATCACCTTAGTTTGTCACTCACGAGGCATCCTTTCGCAGCACAAAATCTTAGCCGAATTAAGCTGACAGTGAAACCCTCACGAAAAGTAGTCAGCTCATCAACATGCCATTCTCACTTTGCTTCCAGATCACATTCTGCCAAAATACCATGAAAACTATCCTTTTTAGCGCACTGCACATGGACCAATCACTGCCGAATGCGTTTGGTGGCGTAGAATTGAGAATCGATATTCCGACGGTTAGGAGGGTCACTAGACCCAGGTACTTGTGCACGTGCGCTAGCACGCACAGGCATATAGCCCTCCGACCGCCGCACACATTTATGGTCCTGCCCGCTTAGTGAGTGAGGGAGTGACTCACCACACTCCAGGTCAGGTCATTCGATGATATGCGGGTTTTTGACCATAAAACCGTACCTCTAACGGTAATGCAAATTGATCGATAAGCACACCTCATCCCCTCGACGCCGGAGTACAAGTCGCCAGTCAGGTGAGCGCTAATTGGGAGTTTAGCTCATCCCGCTGCTTATCGATTTCTGATGAAGGATTTGACAACTAGAGGAATTAGTTGGTCTATTGAGGTGGATGTAAAATAACCAAGTCGAACACCAGTAAAAATCGCACTTAATACCTCCTTTGTTAGCTGTGTAGCACCTGTAATGAGGTTAATAAACCTTGTTCAGCAAGCTAATGCCATGATCTAACTAGCATAGAATAGAAAAAAAGGAAAAAAGGGGTTCTATAAAATAGACGCACTTTTCCTTTGCCTGGTGGGAGTGGGATTGGCGGAACTGGTGGCGATAGTGTCGTGGACCCTTCTCTTCACACTTGACTTCGCCTGTGGCTGTGGGTACTTAGGTGTTAGGTGCATTTGTGATGTCTGCGGTCGTGGTTGCTGAGGTGGCAATGGCATTGATGTGGTCTGACCGTAGTAACCGGGATTCAATTGTTGAGGAATGATCATCGGAGTATAGGGCGATCTTGAAGCATCTGTGGGTTGCTGATAGTAACCCGAAGCGGGATATTGTTCATATCTGGGTATATCTAGTCCGCCTCCGTTACCGGGTATAGTTGATGCCGCTGATGCAGAAGGCATAGACCAGTACGGAAGGCCGATAAAACTTGAAGAAGACGGAGCACCACTATCATTGTTATCAGCGCTGGAGGAAGAGGCGGTGGTAACAGGATACAGGTAGTTGAACTGAGTGTACACGTTACTATCAGCGGGTGCGGGTATGGTAACCCCAGATGAGGAAGAGGATGTATTGGACACGGAGGTAGAGGACGAGGAGGAAGGGAGTGAAGTCTTCAGCCCTTCCTCCAACACTTCATCGGGCTCTATTTTCGCTTTCATGCGATGCGCCAGCTAACACCAACATTCAGCGCGTTTAACTCTGCTTACTCCAGGTCATGACCGCGATATTTATGCATTCGATACCCAAGGCTATATTTAAATCTGATTGGCTGTAATGAGAGAAGGGGTCATTGGCTACGGCGTGAGGTCATGCGTGGAAGGCATGTTTAATTGCATTAGAAGCTTTCATCCACCGGAGCGGAAGTGCTCTAAAATTTTGTATTTTTTTAAACAAATATTTACATTGAAACGAGGCCATATGATCAATCGTGGCTGACAGTAATGTGAGACCATGAAGGTCTGAAGAATTTAGAATATATTTCTTAATGTTCGTGAGAGCTCAGGTCAAAGCCTGGCATCTGGGCTAGTTAAAATTGTGACCCGTTTTGACATAGGCGCCTGGTCGATTTCCACTGTCCATTAAGCGTTTAAATTATGTCTGGAGGGCTCTGACGAAGAAATCCTTGTCATTTAGGCTGAACCATCCTGGAAGATCCTGCACAGTTGGCCATAAGTAAAAGGGTGTCTTCCTTCCCAGTGTGGGCTACCCCTCTGAAATTACCAGCTCTGACTAGTGATTGTACGTACCCACTGTTCTTATGTGTCTGTTAGGCATCCCACGAGCTGATTGTTCGCAGCAATTACTGCCGAAGCCTGTGGACGGTGGGCACAAGGAGCATAACCACCACAGATGAGGCTGTCTCCCTCCAGCAGGTGTAATGGTGTCTCAACCAGATGTCCCACCACAATCACTGAGCTTCACGTTATCTGTACGACACACTTACCGCACACTGAACTATGTCACCACCTCCACGATTGGACCTAAGCTCCTCCAGCAAATCGCCAGTCGGTCAGTCAGTCAGTCAGTCAGTCAACCACTCATGTCCAAATGCTTGTGTTGGCAAGGTGTGAACAATGTCCAGGTACGCATTCACCCAAAGATAATCCCCATCACCCACTGAACTCGCTAAATCACTTCCATCAAAACCTCTTCTCCAATGATCCCGCATCTCTTCTACATCCCCAAACACTAGTTATCCAGGCAGTTGGTTTAGTATTTGGCTAATGAATTAGGGGTCTTACACAGCCCTCGTGGGCACAACGCCGTCTAATTTCCAGCATCACATATCTCTCATCACCTGAGCCGCTTTCATTCAGTGGTCCCGTGCAATGTGAACTCTGATTAAACAAATGCTTCAGCTAAAGCATGCCTCAGTTATGTTGTTTATTCCTTCCCCTCTAGGTCCTTGGTCCCCTCGAAGCCTCCCAATGGCAAGGAAAATTTGGCGACCAGCCTAACCTAACCAATGAGTCACGCTTGCGCCACATGTCATCAAATCATTGGGTGAAGTGTCAGGTCATTGGACGAGTGGCTCAATGAACCACAATAGGATGCCTAGGAGTAGTGCTAGTCGGACGACCTCAACGACTGTCCCCATTTTCCAGGAAGAAAACGTGAAAGATTGTGCACCTGCTTAGGACGTTTAGTGGTAGGTTAATAGAGGCAAATCGACTAACATAGCCCAGATGTTTTATTGTTTGGGGATGATTCCTTCTTCCTTACTGGTCGTGATAATCCATCAATTTTCTAATTGCTTTAAGCCCCACCAATCTCTTTGGTGCGTCTGGTAGTCATGCCCTGACAAACATATCACTCAAAACTCAAACCATGGGATATCACATAAAGCCTCAGGAATGCTTAACCATCGACCTCTTTAAACGTGCATTTTACTACTGAGATCAGAGCTTAAGCGCTCTAAGGGCCGACTTTAACTTGGCCCCAGAGCTGCAAATACTCCTCTCGTCAAATCTCTAGTGGAGTATATGGAGAAACCGCAGTCGGAGACCAATGTCCATGACCCAGTAATGTTGTGAATGATTAGTCTGACTAGGGTGATAAATACTGCATCGTGAAGAGGATGATAAAGTAAAAGTAAAGAAATTCGGCTCAAAGTTGGTGGTTCACGCTACTGACCCTGACTACGGATCGATGGAGTTAAAGCGGAGATGTGGAACACATCAAAACCTACCGAAGAGGAGAACGTTGTCAACATACACATCGGTCGCCTTATTTTTGCACCAGAAGCTAGGTCCTCCAAGAGTAGGACGAAAGCAATGCTCATCATCTAACGCATCACGGATTGGAAACACTGAAATGGGATTGAGGATGGCGGAGAATATCATAAGAGGGACCAGTCGATGGGTAGCTGGCATGTCCCTACAGGCCAGCTGTCGAAATTCTTCCACCTGGATGCGACTCCATGACATTAACCCTAGCAACAGTGAGGTAAAGACGTATCAATGCGAACTCACATTTCAGTGGCCTGTCACCCCTACTAAGGTTATCACCTCATTCAAAGGACCCACCATGACTGACCATCATCTCTTGTCAATCCCTGTTCCACCTGCCTCCGTCAGTGACCCTACAGCTGATGATTTTCAGGGGTTAGCTCATTCGTCCTGCCGGTCAGGTTATCTGCTCTATTCCGTCCTATTCGTCATTTAAGCAGGTAGTCAGCTACTGCATACTTAGGACGTCACCAGCATCTTGGACACGTCCTGCAATCGTTCGCCCCTTCTTTTGTCACCCATACCACATTGGATTGACTAGCCACAGCAAATTGCCCATTTGAGAATCTGAATATTTTATGAAGGCCATTTGCAGGTCAGATTGTGTCCAAGATAGACTCACTTCTTCTTCTCCTCCCTCTAATTTCGATTTCACCTTTGACTTCAAATCCCCCTTTGTTGTTTCCCAAATTTGATTCCTGACAATAAGAGCAGTCCATCACTTTTTTTAGGACCACTAGTTTCTTGGAACTTTCAGCAAATCACTTTTGCCACCTCATTCAGAATACCGTGTTTGTTAGTTTGTCGGAATGGAGACTGTCTATGCAATCCACAGGCTTGGAGATATATGAGTTTGACAGCTCTCATCTTCACCGCACCTCACCTAACTCAACTATCCACCGCAGCCCCAACGATGATTCCTCCTAATCTGTACACCGAAGGTGAATTTCCATCCACCTGAGGCCTCATCTTCCAGCACAAATTACTTCCTTGAAATGGGTGACATTGTCACCACTCGACCAATCGGATGATGACCAGAAGGTGTCAAGCTTTATGCAATTGCAGAAGCATCCATCAATTGTCTGATTCACTCTTGTCAACACTGAGGCGATGGTAACTGAAGTATGCTAAATCACCCACAAGATCGTCTCATTTCTGTGATCGCCACGCCACCTTCGACCACCAGCTGAGTTTGTCTGAGGCGCACCCGAACCTGTTTTTTGTGAATCAACACGATTTGTGCATCAGTGCGATGCAATGATCTTTTGCCAATTAAATACATCACACACGGGTGCAGTTACGGGTCCAACCGACTGCATCAAAGAATAAATTGAGTACCTTCCACCTTATTTCAATCCATGTAGTCTGCGTCACATCAACTGCTGGATAAGGCTGCAAAGCCAGAGCAGTTTCAGTGCACGAGTTCGAATAAAATAGAGCTGAGAGGGATGTAAGGTGATTGCTATACCATCACTGTTGAGAGTAGGTAGAAGGACAGGTCTACAGAGAACATCGCGGAGGTCGAGATGTCGTTGTTGCTGTCATTTCGATCGAACTGTCAGTGCTACTTGCATGATAGGGAGAATGACATTGTATGGTGGGATGTGGTATGGCGTAACAGGAACTAAAGTGTGACTGAGGAAAGGATGGAAATGTGAGGATGAGGGGTATATGAAGGAATTGAAGAGGGAGGGAAGAGAGGTGAAATCCTTCACCTCAACTCACTCGTGTTTAGAAGTAAACTACCGTGGAAACATCACACATAGTAGGGGCAATGGTTTAGTGGCCTACGCCTTACACTCTACTCACATCTCATGAGCTTTTCCATCCACCTTGAGGCAGTTTGGCAGTCTGTAGTAGTGGCGCAAGCAGGCGTGCCTGAAAATGGACAACGGTTCTTTCCACCGAAGGCGTAAACTGCGCGGATATCCACTGTCATCTATTCACATATTCACTACCGAAGTCCTTGATGCAATGATGTCCAATTGTCTCGGAGATGAATGTAGTGGCTCCATTTCTGTGTCATAAACTCGATATCTATCACTCCGAACATTTGAATAATGCGTGGAAGGCGTCATTGTAGACCACTTTCGATGCATAGTCCGCCTTGGAAGTGGACATTCATCCTGCGGATAAAATTGATGGGTGATTAGGTATGAGAGGGATGGATATAATCTTAAGCGAAGGTTCGTGTAATATTGTAAGCAAAACAGTAGGACAGGCAAGTAGATGGGGAAGCAGGCCAGCTTTTCGAACATGCTTAGGCTGAAGTGCCGGATCTCCGTATGCCAACATGAATGCTTTCAAGCTCAACCTTATTTACTGCCAAAAATGTCACATACATGCACGGCAGATCCACCTCAAAATGAACTCCATCTCTTTATCAAATCAGCGGTGCTCCCACGTCTATTTCAACCCTCTTCAAAAGTGGCGCCAATTGAGATCACTGCGACCCTGTCATCCCCACTCATTTTCCTTTACTATGATGTTCCATCAATGACGTTTTCGGCGGACATCCTCCAAGAGGTTTCAATGATTGCTCCAGCCGACACGACATACAGATTTCATGTACCACTGTAATATGGATATGCGCAAAAATTGGATATTTATGCGGGTCAGTCTAAGGATAGATTGCGTTGAAATTGCAGCTCATTTGTTCCTCTTCTACTTCTATTCCTGCCAAATGGGGAACTGCGTTTCTACCCTTACTTTCACCAAATTTTAATCGCATTAATTTACAGCCCCTACTAATAAATAGGGAGATTGGAGGTCAAATCATTTCTTTTAGCACTTAACCATCCTCTCACTCTTTTCCAAGCTTCCTACTTGCCTCGGTTACTGATAGCACAGTTGCAGTCGCGTTCTTGAACTCCAAGCCACCATGCATGTGAATGCTACCCGCCATGTGAAATGCATGTACCATTCAAGCACACAATTCCACTATCCACAACATCATTCTACTTCCAGCCACTGTTGAGGACATCAGTCTCGTGCTACTCTGCCTTCCGTCAAACATACCTCACTCCAAGGTGAACACAAGACATCAATTCCATTCCTCATTTGGCTGTGCTTTGACACAAAGCAATACATCAAAGTGAAACATCCTGCCACGTCAGGGCATTGCAGCAAAGCAGATCTACTGTAGAGTGGATCGGTCAGAGGTGAAAAAGAAAGAACTGACCGACAAGTGTGGTGAAGCAAAAAGAGCAGATCGAATGATTATCTTACATCAAAATCCAAAGAGTTCAAATAGAAGAGACGCTTATTCAAGGTCCACTACTCCATTGTACAGGCTTCTCACTTACCATCCTTCTAAATCATTTCACAACATTCTCAAAACTTACAGTTTCTTATTGATAGCTGATTGTGGATTCTGTTCACTTCATGTTGACTCTCTTGTTAACAAACACGAGGCACTTTGGTGGTTGCATTGTAGGAGTCGTCGGCAGCATTTCAGTGAAGCAATCAACGCGTCAACAGTTATGCCAGCTGGAAATGCATTTTGGTATTCTTGCCTATGCAAGATGATTCTGCCTAGGTAGACGCTTACCATGTTGGGTTTCTACTACCTTGACTACTCCAGTTTCCCCCTTTTCCGTCATCGTGCCTCCACTGCCGATCTTCTGCGTGGATGAAATGAAGTTGCTTTTGCATGGCTCGGCCACCGCATCGTCGCCTCAGATGTGGACAAGTGATGGCATTGAGTTCAGCCGACCTTCACTCAACCTCTCCTCACTTTCGCTGACCTGGCCTCAACTCACTGCCTCAGGTCTCTCATGTGGTTGGTTCATTCGCAAGCGGAATTAATTGAAGTCACCCTGTTGAGAGATGAGGAGATTCTTATTCCAACCCTCGACAGTGCTGCACTGAGGTATGCAGTCATTGGCAAGTAGTCAGTCCATATTGCCGGTATTCGGAGCAGTCTTTT